AACAGGCCGTTGGGTTGAAATCTGCTGTTTCCTTCCAGCAACCTGCTTCTGAGTGTAATTATAGCCAGGACCCCCTGGGGTCTACACTGTACTTCTGAGTCGGGACAGCTGGCAATCGTGCCGGGTTGAACTGGCACAAAATAAAGAGCCGATCACGTGACTGGTGGAAATATTAGATTCCCACTGAGAATTTATCTCCATTTCAGGCTCCAGCAAAGTCGCTGCCTGGCAGCTCCAGCGCGGGTTTGTTGACTCACATATGGGGTAACTTCAAAAGGGCCCTGCAGACCCAGGGAAACAATGCACTCTTTGCAGTGCGCGGTCGAGCTGTAAGAGCTGGACACTCACGGCATCACCGCACCACTGCTTTCACTGTCTGATAGGAAACTTCAGCCGCAAGAACAAGAAGGGAAAAATAAACCTCCTGCTCTTTGATCTCTCCCAGGCATTGGTTAGTGGGTGAGATGTGCCGGGCATGTGGGAGAGAAGAAGTTAGCTTTGCTGCTTGCTTTAGCAACAGCACGTCCAACGATGACTTCTCTTCTGTTTCAATGCCACGTTGTGCAATGCTCTCCATGCTCCCTGCTCCAAGCTGGCCTCCGAGCTTGTGTGTACACCAGGCTGGGCCATTAGAAGATGGCTTGGCTTTCACTTGGGTATTCTCCTGGCCAGGGCTAGATGGCTGGTTGCTCACGTCTCATTTGCAAAACATGATGGCCGATGTTTGCAAAATTTGCAAACCACCTTTGTTTGGGTTGGGAACTCCTGGGGCTGGCTAGGAAATCTGGCCCCTAACGTCTTTCCTGGTTTTGCATCCACATCCTGCCTGCTGTTTGCTATCACGGCTGGGCCAGCAGCCTGGCTCAGCGCAGGGCCGGGACTGGGCTGCCCTCTCACAACCAGGGTTCAAGCTACCAGCGGACAGCCTGGAGCTGGGATTCACACGGTCAGAGGTGGGGCTGTCAATGCACAGGATATCACCGGGGCCAAGGATGCATAGAGACAAGGAAATCATGTTCGGTTGCCTTACTGACAGGCCTGCATGGGAAGCCTTGACGCTGAGCAGAAAGAGTACATCTGCATCCAGATGCCTGCAGTCAGCAGAGGCAGAGTGAGCCCTTGCTCTTCAAACTCTGTTTTCGGTGTTGTGAGCACCTTCCGCGACACCCAGCCCGGACCCTTTGGTGGTCACAGTGCCAGATACTTGCAGCAAGAAATAAGGCTGGCACCCCAAAGAGCCCACCGCACAGGGGGCCCCGAGGTGCCAGGAGGGTCAGTAACCTCACCTCTGGCCCAGGACAGTCTCCACCGACGATCTCATTCACCTCCTCTCCCAGCCACAGGATGGGTTCTGTTGACTTCAAGGGATGCGTCTTAACAAAACTATTCCCTTGCCATTAAAACAAAACCAGTCCCTACCAAGAACGAGGCGGTGCTTCTGCTGGGTTCACTGGACTTGGTGTCTGAGACCCGGCCCAGCTGAGTGCCACGGACCCCCATGCAGGCCCAGGTGCTCAGCCCTGCACAGAGTCGGGCCCAGGGGCTCCAGAGCCAGATCTGTAGTTACCCAACTCCTCAGTTGCAGCAGCAGATTATTCTCAGATGCTGGCGCGCGCTGTGGAGCTCCCCCTCTTTCCTGAACAGACTGACGCTGCAGTTTTCAAGCCAAAGGTTGTTCCAAGCCCATCTAGCAACCCCAGGCCAGCAGGGTCTCATTTCTTCACTCACTCCTTCTTGCTCTCCTGCCAAGCAGTTATTATAATATACTCATGTCTGGGCTCACACCAGGCTTTTCCCTTGCCGGAGGGATGTCACGCACAATGAAATACTCCTGATGAAGTGTTTTCTCCCTTTGAAAGCAGAGCTGCCACTGCGGGTGCTGCAGTGGGGGGAGTAGAAAGGCAGCAAAACAGCTGGAAAGGCATCCAGATGGTCCTTCTCTTCCTTGCCACACTTAAAGGCAGTTCAAGGTTATGGTGATCAGCAAATTCCTATCCGGAAAGTGAAAGGGGAAATGACAGGGCCAGGCCAAGTCCTCAGCTGGTGACAGGCAGTAGCTCCACACCATGAGGTCGATAGCTCTAGACCAGTTGACACCACACAGGGGTCAAGCCCATTTGAGCTGGGGGGGGCTGTGGTGTAGCCAGGCCTTGGGCAGGGCTCACACTTGGGTCTTCTGCAGGGCTGCCCAGTTCCCAGCCACGCTGCTAAGAGCTGGCAGCATGCGGCTGCAGCTCCAGTCCCAGCTCCCTGCGGGCGCTCTCCTTCATTGCTCATTTGCCTGGAGTTACAAGGATAAGGTCCTGGATAGGCAAGGCATGGAGCGACGGAGGCAAAAAGGGGCAGGCAGTGAGACATCTCTTTTCCCCCAGCACGCCAACTGCAATGAGGGTAGAGCCCCAGGAAGCAGCCACTGCAGCCTAGTGCATCCCCCGGCCTGGGAGCTGTGGGCACACTGGAGGAGGGGTATGACCTGGGGAGAGGGTCATGACATCCCTCTGGGGGTGCTGCCCAGGTAGCACAGCCAGGCACTCCTGGGCTGGACTCTAAGTGATGCCCAGGGATCCTGTTTTTAAAAAATCTCCAATTTTTGGCTTTAAAAAAGTAACCCCAAATCCACATTTTTCCATGATTAGAATGAAACACCGCTATATATCTATCTATATATTAGTGGCCTTTCATTTAAGTCATGGAAAAATGTGGTTTGGGGGTTACTTTTTTAACCAAAAATTGGGAATTTTTTTAAATCGGAGAAAACCAGGATCCCTGGTGATGACCTAGCCAGGGCAAGCAGTCACTGTGTCTTTGTGCCTTTGGAAAGCTGACCCTGGCTTTTTGGGTGCAATGAGGTGCCATGTGTTCAAAGAGCAATCATAGACTCATAGAAAATGAGGGTGGGAAGGGGCCTCAGGAGGTCACATCTAGTCCAACCCCTGCTCCAAGGGACCAGCCCCAGCCCCAAGTACATCATCCCAGCCAAGGTTTAGTCAAGCTGGGTCTTCAAAGCCTCCGAAGTTGGAGATCCTGCCATTCCTCCAGATAATCTGTCCCAGTGCTTCACCACCCTCCTAGTGAGAGTTTTTCCTAATATCCAACCTCAACTTCCCTTGCTGCAGCTTAAGCCCATTGCTCCTTGTCCTGTCGTCTGCCCCCACAGAGACCAGCCCAGCTCCATCCTCTTTGCAGCCCCCCTGCGGGGAGGTGAAGGCTGCTATTCAATCCCCCATGCTATTAAATCTCAGTGATGCCCTGTGACCTGAAAACTGCTCTCATACTGGTGCCAAGCAAAGCAGCGTCTCTAGGGACCCCTGCCTGCTGCAGCAAAGGGAGGCTCTGTCTTTGCCACAGCCGCAGATGCGCTGCCCTTTTCGACTACCCAGACTTCAAGGCAAAGAGAAAACCACTGGGATGGATACGAGGTGTCCAGGCTGAGAACAAGAGCCTCCTGAATCCGTTCCACACCATGTCCAGTATGTTTTGTGGGGTAGGATACAGGGACATAAGGATGTGTGATGCAGAAAGTTTCCTTCAAATCCAAGGTGCATTGGCAAGTTAGGTTAATACTCCACGAGGTAATGAAATGCACCCGAGAAGGCAATCAAAGCGTTGCACAGCTCATCACCCAGACAGCGAGTTCAGAGCAGCCAGCAGCCAGAGGCAGCCAGTGCTTGCTGGTTGGGGTGGGAACGAGGACAGAAGGCTGCACTTAATAAAGGAAATCCTGGCTTTGATACCGTGCTCCCCTTCCAGCCAGGGAAGGAATAACCTGGTCCCAGTGCCATCCATGGCAAAACACCCAGCAGCTTCACCCAAGCCAGGATTTCACTCCCTGCATTTGGTCCAGCCTCCCTGTCTCGATCCAGAGTGCAGTCAGACGTGTGAACACATTAACATTCCCAGGGGCACCTCAGCCAGCATGATACTGGACTCCAGTGGGTGCTGCTTTCTGCATCTCTCACTCCAAGACCAGCACCTCGGAAGATTTTGGGGTGTGCAACATTTATTCTGCTTGTCTCTATGCTGCCCCCTGCACCATCCTCTGCACCGAGAGCTGGGCAAGCCCATGGGAACGCGCGGGTTGTGGAAGGTGCTTGTAACAGGATGGCCTGTCCCATTAAGAGGGAACAGTGAGTCCTGTTGAGAGAGCCCAGCTTCAGGGCATTTGGATACTGAGAGAGCTTAAAACCTGGGTGGAGAGAGTGGAAGAGGCAGGCAAGCTGTGGGCTGAGGAGCCAGGCTATTGTGCTGGGAAAGGGTTCCTCTCCCTGAGTCCAGGATAGGACAGCAGGATTTTATTTTGCTTTTGTTGGTTTAAAAGCTTCTGTTTGATTTGGGAGGCTGCCCTAGAATACCAGACGCATCTGCTCCCCATTGCACCAGCCATGACCATGACCATGACCTTCCAGTCCCTACGAGACCTGTACTGCATCGTGCTCACACACCCATGATCTCCCAATTAAACCTGCTGCTGCCAGGTGTCAGGGCCTTCCTTCCAGCACAGGCAGAAGGAGCCAGCCTTTGCTCCCTTTAGCCAAGCACTTGCCGTTCCCTTTCCCAAGCCCCTAAAATGCAGCAAAATGAAAACCTCAGCTGCACCCCAAGAACGACAACCGCATGAAACCAAATGATGAGCACATGTCACAGAAGGGCCCACGTCCTCAATGCAGTAGGGGTCACTATGCATGGGTCAGAGCGAAGCCCTTCTCAGGAAAATGTTTCCTCCCAACAGATCCTACCCAAGCCAAAAGGATCCTATTTCCCCACTTTGCTTTTACACAAGTGCTTGGCCTTCCTTTGCTCTCAAATCCTTGCTGAGACAGCCAAGCCAGCCCACCCTCACCCCTGAGGCAGCCGGCAAGAAGCAATCAGGTGCACAATGTTTTCAGGGGCACCCTTCAGGGCACCCAGACCTCCTGCCCAGGTCAGCCATAACATAAGGTTGTGGCATTAGCACAGATGTGGAAGGAAGCTTGAAAGAGAGAGAGAGGGTATGGACTTACTCAAGGAACCGTGTGATGTATTCCCTGCTGCAGCGCGACCAGGTGAGCGGAGAGGTGTCATACAGGAGCTGTGGAGACATGACGAAAGGTCTTTTCCCAACTGGCTCACAGTCATTGCCGCTTCCATCATGCTGAATCCCAAAACTGTGTAAGAGCACAGTCCCACAAAGGAGAGGTGAGCCGTACGCCTGCTGCAGCCACCCCTAGCACATGTACCACCACCCCCAGCCCCGCAATGCTGCACAGCGGTTCAGGAGACCCCTCAGGCTAAGCTGCTGCTTTGTGAGCTTGAATGCAGCTGGAACTGATGCCTTGGTCAGTGTAGCTTATGCAGGAGGGCTGAAGATCTGAGTTCAGCCCCTGACCCACTCCCCATGGGGACACTGACTTCTCTGCTTCCCCATGCAGACTCACTGGAGAGGCAGGAAGCTTGGGGACAGTCCCTCTCGCTGGGGGCAGGATTGGGACCTCTATGCAGTACTGTGATACGGGTGACTAGTCCACGGTCAGTGCACGGAGGGCAGCGGGCACGTGGGGGATGTGACAGACTCCTCCTAGCGCACTTTGCACCAACTTTACCCACGTTTCAGGGTGGAGCAGAGTACTGGGGCAGGGGCTGAGCCATGGCGTGGGTTTGCAGCAAGGAGCCCCGCAGAGCACGGGCTGTGAGCAGTGCTGAGGGACTAGGTTACTAATCAACATAGCCTCTTCTGCTAGAAAAATCTCTGCGAACAGCTCAGTTTTGGTTGTAATTTAAAATTTGGCAGATTGACACTTGGTGTCTTTAACCCCAAGGTTTTTTTGCAAAGAGTCCTGATACTCTTTAGAGCGGAGTTGTCTGGTTACGATTCGGTCGGTCAGACAGTGTTGCTTCTGTCCCTGGCCTGGGCAGGACTGCTACGTCCTGGAGAGTGCATCCAGCCTTGCAGCTCACTTTCTGTGAACAGTAGTGCCAGTAAAACGCACTTGATCCCACAAAGTGAACACAAGCAGGGCCTGAGCCCAGCCAATGAGAAGTCACATATAAATTCGAGACGATGCTGCCTCACCAGTACTTTTTACCCAGTGTTGCCTGGGTCCCATAGCAAGAAGCCAGGTCAATAGTGGCAAGGCTGCAAGCACCCAAATAGAGCAGGTTCCCATGGGCTGGCATGCACTTAAAGGCGGCTGTCTGAGTGACTGTCCAGCCTCCCTGGACACAAGAGAGGCCCCAGTAACTTATCTTCAGGCATCCACCAAGTGATTTAGGAGCCTGAGTTTTTTAGCTACTCTTGCAAATTGTGCCCACAAACAAAGAAAATATTAGCACCAAGATCTGCTTGTGATGATATCGAGAGCAGGGAAGGGGACAGCTCCGTTGTCACTCTATGTCCCATAGGCACAGAGGCTTGCTTCTCCCCTCAGTTATGCTGGTATAAATCAGGAGGATTTCCACTGGATTCAGTTGAATTACTCTGGCCCCCATCCTGAACAAGTGGGTCAGACTGGGGCCTGGAGTGTCTGGCTAAGCCTGACTGCCTGGGCAGCATGGTGGAAGTCAGAGGCAGTTTCCACCTTGCTCTCTACAAATAAATCTTTGCTTCAAGCAATTGAGAGTGCATGCGCATTTGGGGCCAGCCAGCTGGAGCGGGCAGAGTCCTTATCTGACTCCTTCTCCGGTTCATTGCTTGCTTTCCCAAATGCACAGACTCCTGGCTTAGCCTAGCCCTGATTGCTGCTTTCCCTCTCATAGACATGCCTGTGCTCAGAGGCATGTGTATTAGCTCCTTTTGGGTGCATCTACATGTTCATTAATGCACTTTTGCTAATGCACATTAAATTTAATACCTCCATTGTGAGGTACTAGAAAAAGGTGCATTAGCAAAAGTGCACTTTTTTGTGATGCTTTAATATGCATTAAAATAGGCTAATGCACATTAAAACACATGTGTAGACGTGCCTGCTGTGTACCAAGAAGGGACTCTGCAGGGTCTTGTTCCAAGGGGGAACATAGAAGATGAACTTCAAAAAGCAAGACCAGGGGCTTGAGCCGAGTTTCTGAAGCCAACATTTAATTCAGGAGATCAGTGAAACAAAAAATTAATGCAACTTGTCAGCGTATTGTGAGATGGCACTTTTCTTAAGGAACATTTCCATTCAAAAAAATGATGAAGAGTTTTATAATAGGCCTCCTTACTACAAACCCAAGTCAGGAAGAGATTGTGAGAATACTGGTTTCATTAAATGTCAGAAAATGTGTCCTTAACCAAAGCCAGGCAAGTACAACATACAAATGTTGCAAGGAACACTTGAAAATATGTGATGGTTTCCCAGACCTATGCTATTTAAAAGACCTTTCCAAAGTCAATTGTACTAAACACACAGTGAAGTTCGGGAGGACAAACCGTATTTAATTTAATGGAATCTATTTAAACTGAAATAATTTCTAGGCATTTGTATTCATTTAAATAATTCACCCTTCTTATTCAAAACCTAGCTGGAACTGGGCCTGTTCATTTCCAGAGACCATTCAGCTTCTGCAGAAATCAGTGCCGTTGAGTAGAAACGGACTGTGGGGAGCACATGGTTGTTTTTTAAACTTTGATGCTAATAAATTCATAACAACTGAATGCCGTGAGCAAAATTTGCAGGGCAAAATTAGCTGTAGCTCCCAATGACTTTGGCTTTTTCCCCATGCCCAGTCCCGCCTACCCTTCTTAAAGCTGTGCAGTGCATCTTTCCCTACCAGAGGTCCCAAAAGAGACTAAACGAGCCCACCGTACCTGTGTCCGAGTTCATGTGCCACGGTGAAAGCCAGGGGCAGGCCTGTATCCTCATTGATATTGCAGCTTCGGTGTGGCTGGCACATTCCTGACACATGAGACAGACCCAGAGTCTCACACGGCCGGTTCATGGCTGCACAGATGTCTTTCCTTTTACATCCAGGAATGACGGACAAACACACACACACATGCACACATACACATAGCAGATAGGTGGTTTAAATACACTGTCCTCCAAGGTGGGAAAGTTAACTAAGAGTTGAGATGATGGATTTGTCTGGGGTGGTTTGAACAGGCAGGGGTTGGACTAGGAGGTCCCATCCAGCCCCACAGCTCTAGGAGTCCATGAAAATAAAACTGAGCAAAACAAGGCTCTGCACATTATGAAGCTGGGCCAGCCACCGGATCACAAGGGAGAGCCTAACCAGTGGAAACCACATGGGATTTGCATTACGGAGGAAGGAGTGAAGCTCTCCGCACACAGGAGGGGCTCCGTTTCAGCTCGGCAGAGCGGAAATCCCTTGCTGCACAGAGGCTGCATGCAACAGGGATGCTGTATCCTGCAGCTCCCAGGGTGCTCGCGTTCCCTGGTGCGACACAACAGAACATCGCCCAGCTGTCACACGTACGTGAACAGTGCAAATGCACTGTCACTGGCTAAACAGTGGGAAAGAACAGCTATGTCCAGAGGACAGATTTTTTCTATTTACTCTCCTAGTGGCCCAGCTAATGAAAGAGCCTGATGAATTTAAAATCTGCAGTCCCTTGGCTACATTAGTTCCATCTTCTAAATACAGCTGAGGCTGGAAATAATTAATCAATGAGTGGCCAGTGCATGTCTCAGGGGAATACTACAGCCCCAGGTGTGCTGCCTTTGAAGCAAAGCCACTTCAGCCACCCAGGAAGAACAGTAACACCCCGGGATTGCACAGCTGAGAGCATCTGGTTTCTGTTACCGAGCCAATGCCCTGGAGAAGAGGCGGGTGTTGGAGGAGATGCCCTGCCTGGGAGTTTACTGGGCGTTACTGCAGTGGCTCGACTACTGCCAGTGACCAGAGTGCAGTGGCTCAGAGCCATTGAACTGACTGCCTCAGCTGGGATTTTCAAAGTCGCCAAAAGGATCTAGTGGCTTAAACCCTTGCGGCTTTGCTGGGAGTGAGGCCCCTTCCCCGAGGCCCCTTTGCAAATCCCCACCTTTTGTTCATAAGGAAAAATAACAAGTGCAGCACAAAGACAAGTGCAAAGTGCTGCACCTGGGCAAAATGACCCTCCAACACACCTCCAGGCTGGGGGATGACCTTCGCAGCAGCACAGCAGCGGAAAGGGATCTTGGAGTCATAGTGGACTCTGAGATGAATGTGAGTCGTCAGTGTGACCGAGTGATCAGCAAGGCTAACCGCACTTTATCCTGCATTAGCAGATGCATGACAAACAGGTCCAGGGAGGTGATGCTTCCCCTCTGTGCAGCACTGGTCAGACCACAGCTGGAGTACTGCATCCAGTTTTGGGGCCCGCACTTCAAGATGGATACAGAAAATCTCGAGAGGGTTCAGAGGAGGCCACTCGTACGGTCAGGGGCCTGCAGGCAAGGCCCTACCAGGAGAGACTGAGGGCCCTGGATCTCTTCAGCCTTCCCAAGGGGAGGCTGAGAGGTGATCTTGTGGCTGCCTACAAATTCATCGTGGGGGGCAGCAGGGAATAGGAGATGCTCTGTTTACTAGGGCACCCCTAGAGTAACTAGGAACAACGGCCACAAATCGATGGAGAGCAGATTTAGGTTGGACATTAGAAAGACCTTCTTTACGGTGAGGGTGACCAGAATCTGGAATGGGCTCCAAGGGAGGTGGTGCTTTCCCCTACCCTGGGGGTCTTCAAGAGGAGACTGGACATGCACCTGGCTGGGTCGTCTGACCCCAGCCCTCTTTCCTGCCCACAGCAGGGGGTCAGACTCGATGACCTACTGAGGTCCCTTCCGACCCGAACATCTTTGAATCTATGAAAGTGAGCATCCTTTCAAGATGGGGCTATCCTGAGGGGTTGGCACTGGGGCTGTGCCGAAACCTGGCACCTGGACACCCTAACGCTTGAGTAGATACAGACCCAAGCTCTGAGGCCAGCTCCAGCCATTAATGAGCTTGCCCCAAACCATCCTGGTGCATTTCCAGCTGCCCCCAGAGATGTTCACACAAGACTCAGCTAAGGAAAATGCATGGTAAATTGCCCCGCAGGGGACCTAGCAAGTGCCCTGTTCCCTGCCGTTTCCAGCACCCTGGTGTGTCTCTGACCCAGCAGAGAAGGGGCCCAAGTGTCACACACCTTGTGAGCAGGACAGCCACGTCGTGATGCTGCGGGTGGGAGTCTCCTTTCACATTGATGCTTTTCTGCCACTTGCAAAAGCTTCTCAGGGTGTTGTCGGCGTGGTGGGTGATTTTCAGCTCCTCCTGCCAACAGCAACAAACACAAGGCTGCTGTCAGACTGTCACCCCTTTTGTCACTTGTAGGAGTGCCGGGGGCAGGTTCTGCTCTCCGTCACACCAGGGTAAGATCAAGGACAACCCTTCTTCCCCTTGTCTAGATTACTCCAGATTCACGCTGCACAGTTAGGGCTGGATCTGGCACCTTTTCTGCTTCCATTGGATCTGGGATCAGGCTGCAGCATTGAATAGTTTAATAATGCAAGTTAAAGTGATGGTGGGAAACCTGTTTTGCTCAGGCTGCTGAGCCCATGACCAGGACACAGCTGGGGGAACCAGATCAAACAGCTGAGCAGCTTCAGCTTAGGGAGAATGAGAACTGCAGCTGGGGAACACAAACAACCAGACAGTCACATTCGCCCGCCACTGCTACTTGCTAGGTTGGTCCCAGGAGACCTATTCAGTGCTGGAAACCGGAGTCAGAAGAGAAGAACATCTGCTGGCTCCATCCTGACGCCCAGCCACAGCGGGGCCATCGCTGCTCGTTTTAGAGGAAATGCTGCCAAGAGCCAAACCGCATGTCCAGATGCCAGAAGCAATGGGATAGTTCCCATCGGCTGCTGGATGGGACAGGCATGGGTTGCATTCTGGTGGGAAACCTCTATGAATGACTGAACCAACAGCTCCTAATCACAATGGGGACTAGATTCTGCCATTTCTCTGCTTGTGGATGTCCCTCTGCCTTTAAGAAGTCCACCCACGCAGCAGCTACACAGTCAAGCAATCAGAGCTCTGGCGTCTGCACTGAATCAGTGCAAGTTCTTTCAGGCTACTGAAATCATAGACTTGTAGAAAATGAGGGTTGGAAGGATCTCAGGAGGTCACATCTAGTCCGACCCCCTGCTCCAAGCAGGACCAGCCCCAGCTACATCATCCCAGCCAAGGCTTTGTCTACCCAGGTCTTAAACACCTCCAAGGATGGAGAATCTGCAACCTCTCTGAAACACTGGAACAGGTTATAGGTAACCTGTGCCAGTGCTTTACTACCCTCCTAGTGAGAGAGTTTTTCCTAAAATCTAACCTCAACTTCCCTTGCTGCAGCTTGAGCCCATTGCTCCTTGTCCTGTATCTGCCCCCACTGAGACCAGCCCAGCTCCATCCTCTTTGCAGCCCCCCTGCAGGGAGGTGAAGGCTGCTATCAAATCCCCCCTCGGTCTTCTCTTCTGCAGACTCAGTCAGCCCATTTCCTCCAGCCTCTCCTTACCAGTCCTGTCCCCCAGCCCCCAAACCATTTTCACTGCCCTCCGCTGGACTCTCTCCAGTGTGCCCAAATGAGGAGAAAGGGATAATGCCTGGTTGTGTGTGACCAGCTTGCAGTCTCCCGTAGGGAAAAGAAGTCAAAACACCCAGGCACAAAAGGACCAGAAATGTCAATCGCTCCGTTTTCTTTTTACCTCGTCATCTTCCAGCAGGATTAGCCGCACAATGGCAATGTTGATCGGGTTTCCGATGCTGGCATCGTGGAATATACCTGCCACCTGCAAAACACCAAGCGCATAAGGACTCAGAGACAGAGGTTGCTCTGCTAGCAGTACTCTGGGGAAGTGCATCTGGGAGAGAACTGGGGTCCAGAAGGACAGTGCCGAGCACTGCCGGCTCCAAACCAGAAGTTCCTCAAAATTAAGGATGAGATTGATTCCCGGTCCAGGTCAGGGCCAAATGATTACACAAGTGTTTTCGCTCCGCTGCAGTCTCAACCTGGGTGACATGTTGAACTCAACCAAGCATGTGCCTGGGATCAAGTCTCTGCCTTCACTGTACGAGTGTGTGTGGCTTCTTGTGGGAGCTGTTCTCCATCACACAAATACAGCAAATGGCCTTGCACTGGTGTCCCCTGCCCTCTGCTCTCACTGCTGCCTTTGCTGGAGAGCATAACTGTGCTGATGCAGTCCCAAGGAAATAGCAGGCGAATCATGCCCAAGGATGCTAAGCTCTCTGAAGCAAATATCCTGAGAGGAATCATGCCATGACTTTTACTTGATACCCCAGCCAAGCTGCCCTGGCGGTGAAGTGCTTCCTTGTTAACCCCGCAAGTGACCTTGCTTCTGATTTACCCTTTCCTCCCAGCTCTGAAAGTAGTGGCAGCCATGAGAGCTGCTGAGGAATTTGAACGCAATGATTGCCACAAGCTTTTGGAGCCTGAAGTCATTTTTATGAGAACCCTGATGGCCCAGAGCAGGCAGCCCCATGTCTCAGCGCTGGGGACTCTTCCCAGCTCTTGGGTGCTGCTTCACTTGACTCTCTCCCTGTAACATCTTGCAATGGCATGTTCCTGGGAGAGCCGGGCATTTTTGTCTTGCCAGCCAGGCTAGGTCACGGGTGAGCTGGCACCAGCTCAGCTGGGAAGCGTTAGCTGGCAGGCTGCAAGGAGCTGCTTGTTGACCAGGTGGCTAAACACACCTGCATCTTCTCTGCAGGTCTTGTTTCACAAGCCATTCCCTCGGTATCACTGGGAGTTCCCAGAGCCCACTCGAGCACAGGGCAGTCTTCCTACAGACCCCAGTGGATTAAAATCAGACCCAGCAGGATGGCACGTGCAGCCTCTACATGTCAAGCACAGGGCTGCCAGCTGCCTTACATGCCTGTATTGGGCAACATGGGGTTTTAGGTCTGTGGGAGCTCCCTCCAGGGCTGGCCAGAGCACAGGTGAAGGGTCTCCACCCAGCCCACCAGTGCTGATGCAGAAGGAACAGCCATTCTCCCCTGACAGATCGGGGAGCGAGTGCTCAAGCAACGCACCACCCATAGTTCAGGGCTGGCAAGAAAGTAATGTCTAGTCCAGCTAGGATAACTGAGCCTAAGGTAGCAAAAGGAGTTATTGGAGCCAGGAGCTGGAGTCCTGTGGTGCAGAAGAGGTGCGCAGGAAAGGGGAGGTAAAGAGCAATCAGCACAGGCCGTCAGGGACCCAGGAAGATGAAGGGATGAAACCTGGGAAGTCCAGTGACGATTAGCTCTTACAGTTCGGCCGCCTGAGTCATCAGCAGCTTTCACTGCCAAGCCCAAACTCACCATGTTCATGACGGTCAGGACGTATTTCTCGATGTTTTCACTCCCGTGATATTCCACCATCTTGGTATCTGCTACCACCAGCGTTTCCACCCACTTCTCCTTGCTGATGGAGCGCTGCTTTATTCTCCGCTTCTTCTGCTGTTTCTGCTCCCAGCGTTCCCGCCGTTTCTCAGACTTCTCCAGGCTCTTCTGCGATTCTAAAGGATTGAGGAGAAAAAGGGGTTTCTGGGACACCTGAAAGTAAATGAGCTTTTTTCTAAAAGAAGGAATTACCTCAATGCAAGTAAACAGAGCCTACACAGAGTCTGGAAGCACGGACTACTGGTGTACTCTTAGTGTCATAGTTGGTCGAGTTGGAAGGGACCTGAGCAGATCATCAAGTCCGACCTCCTGCCGTGGCAGGAAAGAGAGCTGGGGTCAAACGACCCCGGCAAGGTGTCTATCTAGCCTCCTTTTGAAGACCCCCAGGGTAGAAGCAAGCACCACTTCTCTTGGAAGTTGGTTCCAGGTCCTAGCCGCCCTGACTGTGAAGTATCGCCTCCCGATGTCTAGTCTGAATCTACTCTCCGTCAACTTACGACCGTTATTCCTTGTAACTCCCAGTAGTGCTCGGGGGAACAGGGACTCTCCCATTGCCTGCTGGTCCCCCTTGGCCAGTTTGTAAACAGCCACCAGATCCCCTCTCAGCCTTCTCTTGTGGAGGCTGAACAGGTTCAGGTCCCGTTGCCTCTCCTCGTCGGGCCTGCCCTGCTGCCCCCGGATCATGCGGGTGGCCTCCTCTG